CAACGGGCATTGAAATTGCTCTTTCAAGGCACCTGGCAGAATAATGCTGTATACACGTCCTCCATCGTTTCTGCTACAATTTTGGAATTGCGACATATTCAATTGTTTTAATGTTATCTAAGCGGATATTGATAAACCTGTAAGATAAATTAGGTTTTTCTCTTTAAATTGAAACGCTTCTTAGCTTTTTGCGCCGAAGGATTATTTTTGACATTTCTTTGCCTTGTGGTATTTTCTAGTAAGGGTTCATTGGACTCTTTTCCTAATCATTAATTTCTTTATGTTATATTAAATATATTTAACCTGATGATTTAGGTTCAATGGAAGGGGTGATTGGCTCCCTTTTCTCGCAACAAAAAGGAGCATTTGATACCCACATGAGTTATTAGCTAAGACTTACTTATTCTGAAAGCAGTTACTATAGTAATTATGTACATTACTTTGTTAGCACTGATATAACTACTTATATGTGACTTTTAAAACAGTTCGATTATCGGATATGTTGATATCGTAACCCAAAAAGTACTATGTCGATTCAGACTTAGGTACCCGTGTTGTCCTAGTCAGAGAAGGTGTGATATTATTGATTTAAAAGATTTTTTTTTGCCTTTCTGTTAAAAACACAAGCCGTTTTGAAAATATTGCCATTTTTCCAATAGTTTCATTACAAAGTATAAACACTTATTAAAATATTAAATCAGTAACCTAGTAAACCTAGTAAACAGTATAAAACTCCCCCCCCCCCAAAAAATAAATTCCTGTATCCGCCCCTGGTGGACATACTGCTGTTTGTTTGTCATTGCCAGATAAAGAGTTTTTTTTGTACTACAACTTCTCTATTTTTTAAATAATACAACTTAAAAAATGAATGGAACTACGACGGGGACCATGTAGTTGGGAATACGGACCGTGGTAGCAGAAAAATAGAGAAAAAATTCACGTCTAAAGGACACTCTAGATTTTTCACATGTATAGGTGTACTATTATTATTAACCTTATGAGTTTAGTTCGAATGATAATATGTTAATAGAAGTAAATTAAAGCTCAGTGTATAGTAGATGTAAAATAAAAATATTTCTGAAATTTCATTTTTTTTAATTCATAGATATTATTATATATTATATACAGTACGTCTGTCCGTTCTGTAGCTACGGGGTATCCGTGAGAGGGGAAACGATATTCTCTCGATGTTTTTCGTAAAAAAATAGACGACGCGTCCCATCAATAAAAATTCAACAAATTTGCAAGTAGCCAATAAAATGAGTGGGCGGAGCGATTTGCGGTGACGCACTCGTCAAATCGACGTATAAAATATATTGCTGTTTATTTAAATGTTTTTTGTCCGCATTCCTTTCATAGATACAGATCCAGCAGATGTACTGTACATATACAGTACGTCTGTCCGTTCTGTAGCTACGGGGTATCCGTGAGAGGGGAAACGATATTTTCTCGATGTTTTTCGTAAAAAATTAGACGACGCGTCCCATCAATAAAAATTCGACAAATTTGCAAGTAGCCAATAAAATGAGTGGGCGGAGCGATTTGCGGTGACGTACTCGTCAAGTCGACGTATAAAATATATTGCTATTTATTTAAATGTTTTTTGTCCGCATTCCTTTCATTGACACAGATCCAGCAAACGGACTGTATATATAGATTATTATTATAGTCTCCACGATAACATCTTTTGTTTATTGTTTTCTCTGGGCCAAGGTGATAGCGGCGAGGTGTGTTGGCGTTCCAACGGTTTTTCGCAGCGGTTTTTCGGTATTAACCCTTCAAATTGTAAGCTACTGCCTAATGATATATTATTTACTTTTAGATATTTTATTTTATTTTACATTAGAATATTTTAACACGTGATAAACCACGGAACAGCCAACCATAACAGGACACTGTCTCCTGCTCAGTATATAGTATGGAGCGAACAAAAAACAGCGAATGCAGATTCTATGAGGAAAATTGGGAAACAACAGAACATCTCATCAATGAGTGCGTCGAGATGACAACCATTCGTGCCATAAACTTTTTGTACCACTGATATTGAAGATGGAGAATGACCCTCTGTAAAACCGTCCCAGATACTGGCTTTTATCAAAGCCCTGGGACTGTACAATGACTCAAGAAAGGGGGACACAATAGATCTGTAAGTAAGGCGCGAAAAGTAAGGTCGCGGTGATTAACCCCCCTCCCACTCATTCTACATTCCACATTATAACCACGGAATTTGATACACTGTAATCTATATCTTATTACGCGTCTTATCTTGTTGAATAAAGTTAAAAATTACTATTACTAATATAGATAAACCTCAACTTGTCTCAACTGTGTTCTTAAAATGAGATATTTAGTGATGAAAACATTGTTTTTGGAATTTGAAGCTTTGTTCTTCTAATATAAACACTTTTTTTTATAAATAATGGATTGCTTTCTAATTATTTTTATTATACTTTATTTTAATTTTGTGTATGTGTATTGATCTACAATATTTAAAAAAAAATTAATGTTAAGATTTTTTTAGATTTTTTTTAGTTACTCTCCGTAAAGGTCTCCTTATCTTTGAAAATTTTTAGATTTGATGTATTTACCTTTTTATGATAATAATTGATATCTATTAATTGACTTTTGTTAATTTGGGACTTAATTGTTTTATATACAGGGTGTAGAAGTTTCATGTTTATTTTGATTTTTTTAATAACGTAAGTAATAACTTTTTGTCCGAACCTGTATAAAACTACTGAGTAAAAAAATATTCACATTCCCGTCATTTTTTACGTAAAAAATGTCTCTTGGTAACAATCGCTACGAGCAAGTTTCAAGATATTTAGAATGAAAATAGTCAATACATGTCATTATCGACAAAAAAATAAACATATGTTGAGTAGATAGTTATTTGACTGAAATGATAAATTTGGGAACTTTTTATTTTTTTAAATTAACCATAAATTTTTCTTCAAAAAAATGATTATAAAACAGTGTTTGTTGAACTTTTGACACAAAATCAATTCAAATTTATGATTTCAGTCTAATAAATGTTTAGTCAACATATATAATTTATGTCAGTGATGACAGGTATTGATAATTTCGATTCCAAATATCTCGAGAACCATTACTAAGAGACCTTTTTTATGTAAGAAACGTCGTAAATGTATATTTTGTTACTCGGTAGTTTTATAACCAGTTAAAAATATGTAGGGGGCGCCCTCTACCAGTAGGAGACATATTGACATCAGAATCAAATTTATCATGTGAAAAAACTCCCCTACACTAATTTTCATCCAAATATTGACGTTACTTCCGAAAAAAAAAATCAAAATAAAAATGAAACTTCTACGCCCTGTATCTCCGAAACTGAGCAATTTAAGACATACATTTATACGAACTCTTTTACTTATTTTTATCTCTAGAATATGCTGCCGAAGTTTCCGGAATACAGTTCGGACCACCCTGTATATGTTACACTAAAAACCGGAAATCAGTGAATCTTAACAATTACTAGTAAAAGCTCACATTCACTCATATTCTAATATTACGCCAGTAAACGTTCAATAACTAATTTTGAAACAAACATTTACTAGTGAAAGCTAACATTACTGGAGCTTACTAGTAAATGCTGGCATTAAAACTGACTTTGCTTTTTGACTAGCTTCTAGCGGCTGCCCGTAACATAATACCCTGAAATTACGATCAGAGCCTCTCTCCCGATGCTGCAGCTGACTGAAAATTTGATGTGGGCTTCAATATTAAAAGACGTTAAAAAGGCATTTAATATTATAATCAAGACATTCAAAGTAATCAAATTTGTATTGGAATTAAAAAAAAATAATCTTAATATTAAGTTGTCCGGTAGCGGCTACACGCTTAGCTTTTTTAGGTAGTAAGTATAAAGGCAAATATTTTGATTTTGGTGGTTCTGATTTGTTATCTTGTAACTTTGAGATGAATGTATCAGCTTAAATATGGAGGTAGTTCAATATTCTTAGAAGTTTTATTTGTTCCAACCTCTACCAGTACTCCCCATACTGTACATACACTAGAATAACTTTCACTGACAACTTTTAGTAAATCTTACTAAATGACTGCTAAATGTTATTAGTAACATTCATTGGTCCAATGTATAATTTTTAGCATTTCCAAGTGATTTTGAATGAACATCTACTTACTGGATTTTCGACTTTGTATATAACATATTTTTTATATGAAACTATAAATTGTTAAAATTCATGTTGTAGTTACTGATAAATTAATTAATCCACTTATATACACATTCATAATAAGTCATGACATTAAGGTGATCTAATTATATTTTTCTTAGTTTTTTTATTTAGTAACAATAGAAAACTTTTAGACATAATATATTCATGTATGATTCTTTTGTGATTAACTACAAATATTTTTTTATAATTATTATACTCCTCCATGTTAATATATTTATCCTCAAATTTCAATACCTGAATTATTGTACATGTTTACTACTCAGTTTTTAAAATTATACATGAATATTTATTATGTTCATAGTTTATCTACTTGATAAATAAATTACCTATAGATTTCATACATAACTCTGTATTTTATCGGGTAATAAAAAAATCATACATTTTTTTAGCGTATGCTATAAAACAGTTTCACATCAGTTGTTGATAGTATTGAAAATTCATCCATTGTACTAAAACCCTAAATTTATTGCAACTAGGGGATTAGCCCTCGTCAGCTAGAGTTCTCGCTGCATGTATCTCCGCACGACACATCAAGAGGGTAATATATGGGGTTTGATTTGAGATTTTACATCGGAGAGTATTGATTTAGGTTCATACGTTTTCTGATAGATAAAGAGACTTATGGCGATGTTATCTACGCGTTACATGATCTGATTGGCATTAGGTTGTGCAGATACGAGAATGCAAAAGAAATAAAAAAAGTTGATTATAGTTTGAATTATTTATTTTCCTTTTTTTATATAAATATATTGTTTTTTAACGCCAATAAATAAAACTAGAATATTATGTATCTCATTTTCTTTATTAGATGATATTTAGTAATTTTTATGCACACAATCGTTTTTTTTTGCAAAAATATTTCTACATAAAGATTTAGTGCATTTTACGTCGTATTACTTACGCCCATGCTTAATTTGACTACTAGATAATTAAACCACTATTCGGCATTGTACAAAAATACCTAATTACAGCTCCTATCACAATTCCAGTACAGTCATAATTTTAAACTTTTTAAAATATATAACACAATTAAAACTTACTATTTACATAATATACAGAATTATAACAACAATTACAAATAAATAAATTAATATCAACAACAAAATTAAAACAATTAAATCTAAGTTTCGAATAAATCAAAAACTTAGATATGTATGGACAAATGTGTAATTTTCTTAAGTCTGGTAGTTTAAGTCGTCACTAATATTATTTTTATCACTTGTATTTCCTACTAATACGGTCGCCAAACCGGTCTATTACCCGATTTATCGTCGTGTATTTTTGTACTGGGACTACGAGACAAATTTTTAATGTTCCTAGAACTGGGAGCTTTAAGTTCGTTTCTCAGTCTTACAGGTTCCTCTTGGACAGTCGAGTCAGGATGTTGAGTCTCCTGAAGTGAGACGCTTGCAGGCTTGATTGGTACAAACGCCGATTTCACAACGTCAATATCCTCGTCATCCGACTGATCAGAAGAGGATTGATCGACTGTGGAGTGAATTTTCCTTTCTTGAGGTACCGACCGAGAAGACTTCTCACTCAAACTAGATTGCGGCGATAGTCGTAGTGTGAGTTGGTTCAATGGATTAGAGGAAAAAGATCTCCCTCGAATATCTTCTAAAGAGGGAATTTTGGCTATATCGGCGGGGTTTAAGTCCGCAGACGGCACTGGTGTGACAAAATTAGGGGCTTGATACCCAGCTGGCGGATGTAGAACGTACAAATCGGGCCCTGTAAACAAAGGCGCATTTAAAATAATAGTAATTAAAAGAGCGCTCGGCCATATGTGACCCGTAGTTAAATATTCTTTTGATCCGACACGCTAATCAAATCGGTGATAGTTTAAAAGCAAACGTCTGTTGGGTCGGATATTTTCTATAGAAACTTACCTTTCCCGAGAGGTGTATGCAACTCGTTAGGAGATATAATAGGGTTAGTTCGATGGCGAAGGAAGTCTTGAAGTCCGTAAGATCCATACATGCCGTCGAACCATCCTGGATTGAAGAGGAAATGATTAAAACCAGGAAGACCTGGTAATCCATAACCAAATTGGAAATCTGAAATAATAAATACATTATTAAATTTCATATATTTTAATAAATAAAATATTAATCAATTATTATATTATAAACAGGATAAAAACTACCAAATAAAGAATTAATAAGATTAAAATTTCCAGTTATTAATTTATATCAAGAGGAAGCATGTGATAAGATGGCAAAAAGTTTTTTAAAAGAGGCCTGACAACTGGATTAAGAACATGATAGCTGATTAATAAAAGATGAAAAGAGAATTGTAAATAAACATTTAATTAGAATCGTAAATCGGCCAAATGTCGTACATATGCCGGGGCAGCGATTAAAATAAACGTAAAATATTTTACGTTTGTTGACTGAACTTTATACGCCGACAAAACCGAGGCGACCGTTAAAATTTTTATGTGTTTAGACCTCGGATGCATGTTTATGCTCGCCTAGCTGGTTGTTTATTAAACATTACAGGCGTTAAGCTGGTTTACACCCTCCCACAACTTCGTTTTGCTCAGTTGTTTACAAGTGTTCTTTTTCTAATATGGCAGCGGATTGCTCTGAATAAACTTTAAATCTCGTCTCTAATTTACTTACTCGATTTGGTCCGAGGTTCTCTTGGGCCGTCGACTGTCACTTTAATTGCCTTACTATACGTAGCAATTTGATAACAAGGTGCTGCACTTATGGTTATGGTCAGCGTGAAAGATTTACCTCGTCCGCTTCGCCCCACAAATCGTAAATCGTTAAACTTGGCTACTTGGTTCTTCATCACAGCAGATCCGTTTCGAAGTTCTGCACAATAATTCTCGTCATTTCCCGCCTTTAACGTGACTAACGTACCGTCAGGAACTTCATCCAATGCCACGACTTTGAACGCAATTGGGAGACTCTTATTCGATCGCCAGTGGTTCGGTAGTGCGCTACAAAGCACTGCTGGACTTCCTGTTTGTACCAGTTCACCGTGGTACTCTTGCAAAGTGTCCAAATAATTGTTGTAAACATCCGACATCTTTGAGAACACCGTATTGTTATTATTTGGTAAATGCATTGGATCAAATCATTAACAAACTAAAGATTAGTATTCGAACAAACTGAACGAAATCAGACGAATTTCCGAACTTCTCAAGTCGCGCGACCTTCTCGAACTAAACGTCTTTAGACACGTCACTCGACATTCCCAAAGTTCGACTGTCGGTACAGTTTTTCTGTGAACGTAGATATTAACACTCTCACCCCCGCTCCCGTAAAGGAGGGTAGTTTTTAAATAGCACGGTGCGATTTGTCCTCTTACAATAAAGGTTAGAAAAGGAAGGAGGCAGGCAACGGGGTGGCAGCCAAACTTTTAAAACGACAGAAACAGAGACGGACTAATTGAAAGCAGCGTATGTCGAACAAAGAGGGCTGATAGAGAATAGAGAAAAAAATACGCGTCACGAGTGAACGAAAGCGAGACGCGAAAATGTTTTAAATTTTGACGGGGATCAAAGCCGGCGGCTCGTTTGTTGAAGTGAGACGTACTCTTTGCCAGAGCTAAATATATGTTGGTCAGAGGTGGACCGAGGAGAATAAAATATAACTAGGTATTTTATATTTCAAGTGTGGGAAAGAAGGCTAAAGAATTTAATTTTCAAACTCTTTTTTATTCTTTTTAGATGGTATATGAAATTATAAACAAATTTTTGTGCATCATATCTTATAACTAAGTTTAAACCATTTTAGAAACATTTTCAATTTAGTACCAAAAATGATGTATGCCCATAACCCCTATTAGGAAACGGACCCCTCGTAGGAGATAGGTCAGGAGGTTGCCTACGAAAGCATATAAATATAAATCATCCATGATTACACAAGACTCGTGAGCCCACGTCAGGCTCACGAGTCTTTATTTAAAAGTTATGGCTATTACAGCAGTCTTCCACAGACGTACGATACTGGTGTCATCTTGATCACCAACATTCTTCATATTGCTCTCAATTTCAGTCTGGAACTTTGGTATGCAGATTTTATTCAAAAGGTTGCCTACGTATGTACTTTTAACTTCGTTTAACGCCCACCGCGTCTGCTGAGCTCTAGTTTTGTTTTTGTATGGAGTACATAATCGTAGACTTCCACGATCTGTTTTCTGTACTTTTTCATCTTTTTTTCATTTTTCCTTAGTCATCGCCAAAGGACTGATGTCAATAATGTTCACTTCACATACAGATGAGTAGGTTTTTCTCTTTTCATGAAGCTACCAAGGTGGCTAGCAGAAGTTCATCTTCTAAGCTGTTATCGTAGACGTTCATCTTCTAAGCTACGTATCTCGCAGACTATTTTCCGGAGATTATGGAATATCACGTTTTCTTCAGGCAGAGGGAAATTTTGTAAATCTACTTGCAAAATTATTATTGGTTCATCTCTTTGCCCTGGTTACTTTAAAGGACCAAATTCTTGATTGTGTTTAGTTTTTTTCTGTCGCGGCGAAGATCCTATCTTGGAATATATCGACATTGAATGGCAGATATCTTCTTCTGAATCAATTTACAGCAGTGTATACATTTGCTGGTTATTTAAAGGTTTCTGAAAGAGCCCCTGCGACTGGATACAGCCCGAAAGTGCAATCACAATTATTTTGCAACCACCTGGAAAGGTAGAGTACGAGCCAACTAAGAAAATGCCGTATAAGATGCCGTGTGATGATGCTCGTATAAGCATTTTCTTAGTTGGTTCAGCGAATGATGTAACTTCGAGTTTTCTAAGGCTAACATCGCCAAAATCCTGTAGATAAATCCATTTCTTAGACGCTGTTTTATTATCTTTATTGAAAACATTCGGCATGTTATCGACTGAAACAAAATCGGCAAAGACCTACTGAAGAAGTTACTCGTAAGTTTAAAAAAAGTAAAAGTAAAAGATAAAAAAAAGTAATAGTTAATCTTTTTTCTATTTCTAAAACATATTCAATAATTTCATGGTCCTGTTCGTCAGAAATGCCGAGACATGTCGGCTTTCTTGCTTTGCTTAAAGCCAGGCTTTCCGAATCAGTCTCAAGCGTAAACGCTGCTCTGTCATGCTTTGCGAGATTAACATGGCTTACACGTATAGAACACTGAAACATGTTTGATGCCTTATTAAAATATGACATGAAATGGTACGTAAGAAGCAAATCAAGAAAATTACTTCAATAGACAAAAATTGAGAGGCGCTTGAAACTCGATTTGGAAAATAGAATAGATAGTTATTCATATCGTCTTTACTAATTCTTAAACGGAATATTTCTTCTATTCTACGGTTCTTAATTTAAGTCATCACGCTTACACATATGAACAGTGCATATGTGTGAACGTGCTATAGCCAGTTACTATCTGCGCCTAACATGTGAGCTGTTGAGGAGAATATTTAAAGTATAATTAATTTGTTTATACCACCTGACAAGGCAGCTTTAAAAGTAATAAAAATTAAAAAGAAATTGTGTTTTAAATAATAACACAAGTTATGAGTGACATAATTTTGCGAGGGGTGTCTCACTTGGGTAAAAGATGTACTGCCCAGGGGCGGATACAGAAATTTATTTTAGAGGGGGCCTAAATAAAAAAATGCAAAATATGCCTCTTAGGACGCCATTTTTAACCCAAAAGCCTAATATTTAAGCCAATTTACAGATTTTAAGGGGGGCCGGGGCCCCATGAATCCCCCTCTGTAACCGCCACAGGTACTGCTAAAATATCATTTTATTGCCAAGCGACAGCTAATGACTGCGAAGAAGATTGCCTATGACTGCCATGTAACTATTATTGGCGACTGCCGTAAGACTGCCAATGACTGCTAGCGACTGCCAAGAAAATGTACAATTCCAATAGTGAGACACCCCTCGTAATTTTGGTTAAAAAAAATATTCTTAAATGATTCATCAAAGTTTATGGAATTTATTTTAATATAATATATCTCTAAGGGCCACATTTTCGTTATATCGGTAAACAGAAAACTAAGTTCGACCCTGTCCATAGATACTCTATCCTATAAAGGATAGAAAAATACGACTTTGGTACGCCAGAGCGAGACCGCTAAAAGTGAGCACAGCTTACGTGAAGCCAAACGTGCCAGACAAGGATACTAAAAGATATTTGCTGGAAATTAAAGAGAGAGACAGTATATAGCCAATCCGACGCGGTTTTTGAGGCCTCGACGCGGTTAGTCCCTCCCCTGGTGCTGAACCACCCTTTACTCCCACCAGCAAAACCGATTTTCAGCTGTTTTCACAGGCAACTTCCTAGGAGAGCGGTTTTAGAGGAAGACGCAACAACGTGAAGGTGTTGTTCTATTATCGTTGCGTAGGGAACGGTAGTGGCTTAGTGATATATAAAACATTGATTGAAATTAGGTCACCCTACTTAGGGGAATCGTTAAACAGAACAAATAATTATTTAATTTATAATCCGTACTATGTTTTAACATTTTTATATCATAGGCACAAAACATAAAGATCCTTTATAACATGGCATGAGAAAGAGTATTTAATAAATATATTTTTTAAAAGTTTGGGTGAAGTTACTTGAAGTTATATTGCATTCTTCTTAATAACCATATAAAGTTTTAGTGGCTTTTAGCTTTACTGTGGATAAATGTATAGAGTGAGATAGGGTTCACAATTGATAATACAATATTAAATCTAGTTTTTAAATATTCTGCTTAAGTTTTACTGGTATCTTGTTATCCTATGAAAAATTAAAGTCTTCTATAAGTAGGTACTTCTAGTCAACTAAGTATAATACAAGGAATCATTCACTATTCTGTTAAATAGTAAAATATTTTAAAGTTAAAAAGATTAAAATATTTTCAATTTTTTATTTGAACTCTATATTATTGAGTTTGTAGGTGTTAGTTTAATATGAATTATAATGTACCCACCACATTATAGAAAAGAGAAATCTTTTCTATAGATTCAATTTTTCACATTAACTCTTATAGTTTCAACTATAAATAAACACACTAAAATTGGCTTTCAAATTTATGTTTTAGTAAAAAAATATAAATATTTCTTAATTTATTTTTGTTTCTACAGTATGTACCCGGATTGTCTTTACGAGTGGAACAACTTTTTTATTACAGACACATTGGCAAAAATGCATTCTTCATAAAAACTTTTGCTTGTTCTGAAATGATTAATTCCGTTTGTAGGTACTTTTTCAAATTTCTATACCGTTTTAGAGAAAATTAAAAAAAGAAACATGAAAATATGGTTGCATTTTTGAAAATCAAAACGCGTTTCCGTGGTAATATATTTTCATTTCCAACCTTTGGTAGATTGTTATTGATTGAATTATAATTAACGTCATATTTTTTGCTGTTTTAAAATGTTAGAGAAGTACAAAATTTATTTAGTTCAGTGCTATCGAGAGGGTGATAATAGTTATCGGAAAATGTGATACTTTAACAACAGCAAAACAAATTACATTAATCAAAATTAATAATAACAATCTATCAAAGAATGAAATCGAACTTATATTACCATAGAAAGTGTAATATATACATATTATTACATCATGTTTGTAGGTACATAGAATTAAAAAATGTTGATTTTATCCTAGTTCTGGCTATTTTAAACATTATTATTAAAATATAGTATTATTAAAATATATATAAAGTTTGATTTCCACTCAACCACCGAGTATTTCATATTGGCGACGAGGATAAAAAAATAATCAGTGTTAGTCTCCATTCCTGGAAAGAAGAAAAACATAGTTTGAAGAAAGATTTAAAAAAAAATGGGGGAAACTGAGAAGCCATCATATTATGGAAAAATTAGAGAATTCAGTGCTCAAAATAGTGACTGGGGGATTTATAAAAGGCGTCTGGAAAATTATTTCACCGTAAATGGCATAAATGACAACGAGAAGAGGAAGGCATTGTTGCTTAATGCTCTGGATGAGGAAGCATATAAACTTATCTATAATTTGGCTTTATCAAGATTACCAGAAGATAAGACCTACAATGAACTCACCGAACTGTTCAATACACATTTTAAAGTGGCTGAGTCAATATTCGTAGCAAGGTCAAAGTTTTTTACTTCGTTCAAAGATACTCACGAAAGTGCGACTGAATGGGCAGCAAGAGTACGAAGTATGGCAATTAATTGTAGTTTTTCCGAAACAGTTTTTGACATGATGTTACGTGATCGATTTATCATTGGATTTGATAAAGGACAAGTGAAGTTAAGATTGTTTAAATTGGATATTTCTACCAAATTTGCTGAAGTAGTGCAAGTTGCTGTAACTGAGCTAGCAGCTGAGGAAATTCCAAGGAAATTCAACGAATTTACAATTAAAAAGGAGCCATCAGTGCAACATATCCGAAGTCATCGTGCTAAAGAGAGTGCGGGAAGTTAAAAAAATCCAAGAAAAGTGAAAAGTGTGCGTGTTGTGGTCGAAAAAATCATGTCGCAAAATTGTCGTTTTCGAAATTATACCTGCA